TTGGCGATGGTATCTAAAGGCGCCTATGCAAACAAACAGCTTATCTTGAGAATCCATCACCATCAGAGCACTTGTTTCACAGGTTCCACTAATAGTTCACATGCGCAGACACTTAATACACAAAATCGCACCACTTTTACATATCAAAGTCCACTTCAAACCATTATTTAAACAATAATACAGGAGCAGCAAACCGCCGCCAGTCAAGTTCCTGCCAAAAACTCTCAATTTGACAGCCATTGACAGCATCAAACCTCCATTACATGTTTTATTAAGATTTTTAGCTTGGATGCTTGCCCATTAAGACATGTCTTCATTTCATTCGTGATCTTAGATTTAACAAGTTGTGTATCGCCAGCAACACAAAATCAGGAATTTGCATTTAGAAAAACCCAAATTAGGGGCATTTTAGGTGCTAATTAGGTGCCAAGTTTAAAAACTAGGTGCTCTAAAATTTCCACCGCAACGAACTGTTGAAATTTTGCGTTGCTAGCAAAACGTCTCGCTAGCAACGCAATGAAGTTATTAGATATTATATACGATAAATATTAATAGCAAGAAATTAAGTGCTAAATAGGTGCTGCGAGTAAAGGCAATGACAAGGCGCCCCTAATAAAAATAAAGTCTTTATTCAGAACACAGCAGATGCAAAATTCAGGTTTTCTGAAAATCAAAATTGCTTTTAGAAAAAGTCCAAATTATTGGCTAATTAGGTACCAAATTTAAAAATTAGTTGCTCTAAAATTTTCATCGCAACAAACTGTTGAAGTTTGAGTTGCAGGAATATTGACATAGTTACTTCTGCAACTGCTTCGGCGCTGCGGGGAGTGCAGCCCCTTCGCCCTTGCGTAGCAAATCACAAGCACCCATGCACACTTCCGCAGCTTCGCTTATTGATCGCCTTCATCAGCCTCTACGGCTCACAAGGATGCCTGTGTTTCACCACAGCGGGCGGGGACTCCACTCCCTCCGCGCCTACGGCTTTACAAAAACACTCTAGGGGTAGGACAAACACGACTACGTGAAGTCGGGGCGTTATGATTTGGTTTTAGTACAGATTCGACTAATCTTATCTATATAGACGTGGTAGAGCCATGCTATAGCTATATTAATAGTATAGTTGTAGCACGAATGGGTCGGCTCGACCGGGGAAGGGCCACGCTCTCACAGAATACCAGCGTAAAATAGCAGCTTAATGCTGCTGTGTTTCGTATGGTGAGTGTAGAGAACCGGAGACCCATTTTACTGGAAAAGAGGCATTCCATCTTAGTCCTCACGGGTGACAACGCTTCTGCAATTTACTTAGCAAACGAAGATAGATTCAGATGTCTATGGGCCACAGCAACCACTTACCATCAGGTGGACTGTGTGCTCGTTTGTCACCCTAATTTTATATAAAAAAAAACTAACTAACGAACTATGACTGACTTTAACTATTCTGTGTAAACTATAATACTAGGGACGGTGGATGAAAAGATGGTACTGTAGGCGATTATATATTGCACTATTTACAAGCGGCGTTAATCAATTATATAAAGATGGGAGACTTCAATGGAGTATTTTCTCTCTTGAGGTCTTCTTTCTTGATGTTGTATCTCGTAGTGCCGCTGCCGAAATGAACGACGCACAACTTTTTTTTTTGCGCCCGAAGCAATTTGGAAAAGGGCCACCCTTTACGGGAGGCCGAAAATGCATTACGCATATCACAATGGCTATCCATCGTGGTTATGGGGGACTCACGCCTAACCGGGGAGCCTATGTGATACCCCCTAAAAACCGCCTTTGGGGACTGGCAACCAGCTGTTTAAAGCTTCCTATGCCGTATCGTAAAGCGACCCTCTTTTGGGAAAAAGAGGGCGCAGGCGGCTATAAGCCGCTGAGGGAGTGCCTACGAAGGCAATTTGATTGTAAAAATTTAATTATTTATGAAAGTTTAATTATGAAATTGACTGAGCCACCAGGAGGCAGTTCAAATCGTTTGACAGAGAATAGGCGGGTTCGAGTGGGAGTTCCTCGGCCTGCGGATGCGATAGCGAGAGGGAGTGGGGTTGCACACTTAAGTATGTTTAATGAAACTCTGAGACTTTGAAGAAGTTTCAGAGAGTTTTAATTAGTGAGTGCCTACGAAGGCAGTTTTAACCCGACGTATTGACCTTACGATGAAGTGATTAAAATAATTTTATAACGTACTTAAAAGATTATGATGCTCTGTAAGAGCAAGGAGTCTGTCCTGAGGGGACTTGGCAGCGCGCAATTTGCGTGCTAAGACTGTGATCTCCCCAATGTTGATGTTCTTAATAGCGGCGTACACCGTATTTAGATCATCAACCATTGAGGGTTGTGTTTGCTGTGCAGCGGGGGACGACCGCGGAGGGTCGGCCTTTTTGGGTCCCCAGGGGAAGACTGGAGGCTGTAATGGTTGCGAGAAGCCCGGAGGTGGGCGAAGAAGAGGGGGAGGGACCCGGGAGGGCCTTGGGTCCACCTGGGATGGTCGAAGATACCTCTTAGGTGGCAATCTTGATGGGAGGGCCGGGAATGACTTAGCATTAACCGGCGGTGGAGCGTGCCTAATGGGGCGCGAACGAGTTCCGGGACTCGAGGTAGGCCGCTATAACGGGCGGCGGTGCCTGAACGGCGGGAAGAGCCAGAAGGGCTAAGATGGCTGCATTAAGAGCTTGCGGGTCATTATGTAACCTATGGACTATATCGAGCAGGGGACCTAACAAATTCTGCGAGGACATTGTCGTTGGGGACTACGTAAATATATAAAAAGTTAAAAAGTTAGGGGGACACTGTTCTGAAAAGAACAGAAACGCAATCTAATAACAGTAAGAGCGGGATCACCGTTCTGAAAAGAACGGGACGTTCGTAATCTCAGGAGTAAGTGCCCCTGCTCTCAAAAGAGCAGGGCCTTGCTCTGAAAAGAGCAAGTAACTCCCTTGAAACAGTATGTACACGTACACGTTATACAAATAAATAACGAAAACAAAATTAGAAATAGTTAACAAAGAATTAACAATAAAAATAACAATAACAAGCAAGACCAACAGTCAAGCCGCCCCGTCCGGAGACAGGGAGGTAATAACTGGAGTTAGCGTAAAAGGACTCACCAGGCGTCGCACTGTACAGTGCGAGCAGGACAGAGGAGGCGCGAGAGCGAGAGAGCACTACCGTACGGGGACGGATGTGCGGACTACCTGGACACGACCGCTCGAGAGCGGTGCCACAGGCGGGAATGTTTTTTGACGCACAACTCACACCGCCCTTCTTATATTCTCAAAAAGGGTGTCTCGGCGCGTGCGTGGCATTATAAAGTGTGCCGCGCGCTGATTGGTCGGCGGCATCGCGTGATCTTCGGGCGGTGTGCGGGGTGCGCGGGGCGCAACGGGGTATGAAGGGGCGACGGGGCGGCGGCTCCCCACGCCGTCCGTAACAATTAGGTCTTTACATATGAAATTGGCGTTTTGTACGGGAGGAATATAAAGTCAATTTTATTTGTAAAATATATTTTATTAACCGGTTCAGTGCGGATGGCACACCAGGCGTGCCATCGATTACTTTTGTGTGTGGCGTATGACACACGAGTCGTGTCTTTTTAAAAATCGTTATAACTCGCTCAAATTGCGTTTTTGGAAAATTTAATAATAATAATAATACTTTTACTTCTAAAACATTCTCCTTGAACAGTCGGAAGTCTTCAATGAATGGGCGACTGTAGGAGTCCATATGAGCAGGCATAGGTTATATGATCTTTACCATGAAAGGTCATATAATCATAGCGTCGAATTTAGGGAATATGTAAAAAAATATTCAAAAATATTTAAAAGAGTGTGCTCCATAGCCAAGTCTTTGCATATGAGCAACAAAATTAAGACGGCTTCCAATAAAATTAAAATGACATGGAGTATAATTAATAGCGAAACTGGTAAGATCAACTCTCGCAATTCAAATTACCAGTTAAGTGTTAACAACAAATTAACTGTATCAGATCAGGACGTAGCAATGGTTTTTGAGAAATATTTTACTGATATTCCGATCTTGACCACTAAGTCACTGAATTCTTCTCCTGCCGTCGCCGAATTCGCCTTTACTTAAACAAAATGTAAATGCGTGTACAAAGAATTTTACGTTTCATAAAGTGTCATCAAAAGATATTGTAAAATATTTTAAAACTGTTGATGTTAAGAAAACTGCGGATCTGTGGGGGATTTCCGTTAAAGTTATTGCGTCTATAATAGATACAATCGCGCCTCATTTAGCTATTATTTTTAATACTAGTATCGAATCTGGTGTGTTTCCTGATTTAATGAAGTATAGTAAAGTAATACCTTTATTTAAATCGGGTAGTACATTAGACCACGCCAATTTTAGACTTATTTCTGTACTACCAACACTTAGTAAGATTTTTGAAAAAATTATTCTTGATATAATGTTAAATTTCTTTAATATAAATAATTTAAATCATAAAAATCAATTTGGTTTCACAAGGGGTCGCTCGACAACTGATGCCGGTATTGAGCGGATTAAATATATATTTAATGCATGGGAGAATTCACAGGATGCTTTGGGTATATTTTGTGGCCTATCCAAGGCCTTCGATTATGTTCACCTTGAAACATTAATCAGGAAACTTCAATACTACGGTGTAAGAAGTGATGCTCTTAAATTAATTATTTCATATTTAAGTAAGAGAACGCAAAAAGTTGTCATTAACGATATGAGCTCTTCCGGATCGATGGAACAAATGGGCGTGCCTCAAGGCTCAATTCTCGGCCCCTTTCTCTTTCTTGTATACATTAATGACTTACCTTACATAGTAGGGGATATGATATGATATATTTATGATATAACCATGATATAGTATTGTTTGCAGATGATGCTTCTTTAATTTTCAAATTAAGTCTACAATTACTAAAATATGACGAAGTAAACAGTATCTGGTACACACATATTTATATAAAACACGTTTGCACAATATTGTACATATTTTACCAGATAGCTCACGAAAAATGTTTTGCGCCAGTGTGTGTTTTTAAATGTCTTTGCAAATCATAGTTTCTAATAAATCTATGTTCACAGATATTACACGAAAAAGGCTTTTCACCAGTGTGTATTTTCATATGTCTTTGGAAATTTCCTTTTGTAATACATCTATATTCACAGATATTACATGAAAAAGGTTTTTCTCCAGTATGTATATTCATATGGGTTTGCAAACGACTTTTTGTAATACATCTATATTCACAGATATTACACGAAAAAGATTTTTCTCCAGTATGTATATTCATATGGTTTTGCAAACGACTTTTTGTAATACATCTATATTCACAGATATTACACGAAAAAGGTTTTTCACCGGTGTGTATTATCATATGTCTTTGAAAATTTCTTTTTGTAATACATCTATATTCACAGATATTACACGAAAAAGGTTTTTCTCCAGTATGTATTTTCATATGAGTTTGCAAATCACTTTTTGTAATACATCTATATTCACAGCTATTACATGAAAAAGGTTTTTCTCCAGTATGTATTTTCATATGGGTTTGCAAACGACTTTTTGTAATACATCTACATTCACAGATATTACACGAAAACGGTTTTTCTCCAGTATGTATTTTCATATGGGTTTGCAAACTACTTTTTCTAACACATCTATATTCACAGATATTACACGAAAACGGTTTTTCTCCAGTATGTATTTTCATATGGGTTTGCAAATGACTTTTTGTAATACATCTAAATTCACAGAAATTACACGAAAAAGGTTTTTCACCGGTGTGTCTTTTCATATGGGTTTGAAAATCAGTTTTTCTAATACATCTATATTCACATATATTACACGAAAAAGGTTTTTCACCGGTGTGTATTTTCATATGTTCTTGCAAACGACTTTTTGTAATACATCTATATTCACAGATTTTACACGAAAAAGGTTTTTCACCGGTGTGTATTTTCATATGGGTTTGAAAATCAGTTTTTCTAATACATCTATATTCACAGATATTACACGAAAAAGGTTTTTCACCGGTGTGTATTTTCATATGTGTTTGCAACTTACTTTTTCTAATACATTTATATTCACAATTATTACAACAGTACATTTGTTTAGCGACGTGCGCTTTAAGATGTGTCAAAATAGAACGTTTTTGAGATGTTTTAAATTCGCAAATATCACAATTAAATATTTCTGTTTGTTGTGGTACTGGAGTTAGTTCTACTTGTGTCCGGACTGCAGTGGTGTCTGAGTGCTTATGCGTCTTATGACTGTATGAAATGTGTTTGGCGAGAATGTTTTTTGTTGAAAATTTTTTACTACAACCATCACATTCAAAAATGTATTCAGTTGATGTCCCAGATGTTTTTTTCTTACGCATATTTACACTCTTTTGTTTCAAAATTTTCGTTTTCATAATCTTTGCAGGATGCTTTCCTTTTTTATTAATTGCTTGATTATCTTTTTTCACTTTAGGGTTTGATTTAATAGTAGGGCCTTCAAAATCAAGGTCTTCTTCACGAACATCGTTTATGTTACAACCAGTAGAATTTGATTTAACCTTCTTCTCAGAAGTTTCTGAAAAATAATTTGTCGAAGTTAAACTTTTTATTTATTGTATCTTTATTGCAAGACACCTTAAACGGTTTACAATGGGCGAAGTTTATGCCTTATGGCATTTTCTATCAGTTAACCCAGGGAGAAATAAAGAAATTATAGTATTTTACACAATAATACTAAATATTGTTGCCAGATATAAAGTATTTTAGTCAATTACTCCGAATAATGCCTCTCATATTCATTTTTGGACGGAAAGAATGATTTTTCTGATCATGTTACATTTACATTAATCTAATAATCGCTGTTTCGAATTCCACACAGAACTAATGTTATACACACACGGTCGAAGATGGCGTGTAAGTGCGGTATAACAGAATTCAACATTTTGTCCCGTGGGTTTCGTAAGAGGCGTCTATGGGTTTGCTAGAAAAATCTGATGGCTTTCGACAGATGGCGGTATTACCACCTCGTTTACTTCAAATGTAAAATATCCAGACCGGCGCCAGGCAACATTGCCAGAGGTGCTCACGTCTGGTTCTGCGATCGTCAGTCCTATGCCAAGCGTGACTCTCAAGGCAAATCCTTCCTGCGTAGGGAGAGATCCTTCCATGTTCAGCAGTGGAAGTTTACGGGAATATTAAGAGGTCCTTTCTCCACTGGCACCCATAAAATTGTTAATTTTGTAAGTAGGTGTGTATGTATGTATACATACATCCATACACGCCGTTTCCGTCCTATCGATCCTAACAGCTTCGACGGAAACCGTATTGAAGGTCACTAATCAGCTTATGTTCTTCAAGGTACCGCGTGACGCGTGAGCTGGGAGTTAATAATGGATTCCATTATTTTGGGGAACTAGAAGGTGATGGTGATAGGCCTGTATTTGGATAGGTCCCAGCCTTTTTTAGGAATCGCATGCACTAAGGCTGCCTATCATAAGGTTGGAACGACATCTAAGGAGTAAGAGAATATGACATAAACATAAAAATAACATAATTAATAGAATCAGGCGTTACTTTGCGGAAATCTTTTATATAAAAGCATTTAGAAAAATTCACTTCGCAAATATCCGCGTTATAAAATAAATCACTGGACTCGGCTCATGGACGCTGTTGAGGCTTTGTTTGAGGGTCAAAATAAAGATTTTTTTTCTAAGGGAATTCTGGGTTTAGTACAAAAATAGACTAAATGCATTGACTTGTTAGAAGATTATGTGGAAAAATAAATTATTTATTATTTAATATTCATTATCAATAATTACTTTTGGATCACGCCTCGTACTCACATCCTAAAAATAAAACCAAAGCGAAAAGTTGACTGGAATCGGAAAGGATGTTAAAAAACGGCAGAGAAGGCTTCGCCCGCGTAGTAAGACAAGACAAAAAGATTATTAATAGAATCAGGCGTTCTATTGCGAAAATCCATTATATTAAACACTATAGTAAAATTATTTTGTGCGTGCAGTTGGGGTCATAAATCATAGCTCGGCCTCAGCCCGGCTAGGGCGGTAAGCATGTTGCGAGGGCGCAACGCCATTATCGATAACAACAAATTCAATTTTAGATATAAGTTATTATATTTATTTTTAATATAAGTTGTTAGATGCGAAACATTTCTACTTATAGTTTTTAATAGATAGGTAACTAATTAATAATTTATTTAGAATTATTATTATTATTATGTTAATAAATACGTTGTTTTATCTATTTCTCTTTTCATTTTTATCACGCTCACATAATGACAAAACTAAATACACTATCAATAACGCTTATCGACAATAATATTGCGCATCACTATGCTCGCCCATAAAGCCCGTGAGTGGGAGAGAGAGCGAAATACTCCGATAATTTATGACCCAAATTGCACGCACAAAATAATTCTAGTATAGCTGATAACCGCTCGCTTCGCTAGGCGCAAGATTTTATTGCAGAACCTAGATGTGACTAAAGTAATTAAAAGCAAAATTTGTATGTATAGTACATCTCCAACTACATGATGCAAGAGGAATTTGTGGTGATTTTTTTATTTTTTGATGCAGGTTTTTAAACATAAATTCATTTACCTATGTCATCGTCATCTTTTTTACTCTTCGAATCAAATGCAATTAGCGGCAAGTCATCATCCAATATAAAAATGTATTTATTGCTTTTCGAAGCATTCTCCGCGAAATTTGACACATTTTTCCATACGATGCGATGGAATCAATCATTGAAGCAACCATTCCATTCGGAAGTTGGGGTCCCCAAAATGGCCGTTTTGTAGGCGTCCACAGCTTCTTCAGGTGATGAAAATCTCTGTCCACGCAATTTATTCTTTATTTGAGGGAAAGTATAGAAATCATTAAGGCTTAGGTCGGGGCTGTACGGCGGATGGTCTAATAATTCTATGTTTTCTTGCTCTAAAAACTCTTTTGTTCTGTGTGCGCTGTGAGAACTCGCATTGTCGTGATGGAGGATGATGCGGCGGTTGCAGCTCTCTTTACGGAGTTCAGAAACGACCTGTGGCAAACAAATGCTAGCATACCATTCTGCATTAACCGTTCTTTGTCCCTCAAGAGGAATAGTCGTAACATGGCCGGTTTTGGAGACAAACGTGGCCACCATTTTTTTTGCAACACTGCGTGAACGAACAATTTTTGATGGCTTTAACTCATTTTCGAACACCCAAACTCGTGACTAGTTTTTTCTTTCGGGTTCGTACGCTTATATCCAGGATTCGTCACCTGATACGATGTTGTATACAGCATTTGAGGATCCTGCGTGGAATCTTTCGAGAGTTTTGACGCACCAAGTAACGCGAGCCGCGTTTTGCTCTTCACAGAGCGAATACGGTATCCATCGGGAAAACAACTTATTTACATCTAATTGTTGGTGCAAGATTATTTGTATTTGACTCATGCCAATGTCTAAAGTTGCCTGAATTTCGCGGTATGCCACATGTCGATCTTCCTCAATCAGCTTACGCACAGCATCAACGTTTTCTTGGATGACTGCAGTTTTTGGACGACCTTGACGGGGATCATCACTGAGCTTGACAAGTCCACGTTGAAATTCAGCAAACCAGCGATAAATTGTGGTTTTGGGTGGGGCTTCATCACCAAATGCAGAAATCATCCGGTCAACACACTGTTTTTGTTTTAAACCACTTCGAAAGTCATAATAAATCATCGCTCTTGAATTTTCTCGAGTCAATTCCATTTTCTCAACGACTAAACAAGTTTGATAAAACCTTGTGGCAAGACCGAGATTCATTTTTTAAATAAATAAATGGTATTCGATTTTTAAAACCAAGGGGTTTTCAATTAAAAAGATTTTAATATGACAGGAACAGTGGAAATATTCTATTCTCGATACTTTTAGTGCAGCCCTCGTATAAATGATATAAAAACCACATTGTCAGAAAGATAAATGATTGTTGAACTTATAATTTTTTTTTAAATCGATTAATTGCTATTTTTACATAAAAAAGTGGTTTTAGTGGCTTATGGTGTAGGTTTTTGCCGTGTAGTGGCGGTCAAGAATATCCACTACCCCATATCCTCCCGTGGGTGTCGTAAAAGGCGACAAAGGGAAACAGGCAGGAGATGGGCAGCAGCATCTTCCTGATAATAGCCAAAATTACAATAAAAAAACTGCGGTTGCCAACCCGCTCGCCAAGCGTGGCAACTATGGCAAATACCCCCCAATGATTAAAGCAACAAACAGATGGCCCCCAGTCCCCGGCGGCCCCGCTATTCCTGGCTACGGTGGCGACCATGGTAACGGCGGGGAAGGGGGTGCTAAGAAACTCCGGTGGAGGTTCGGTTGCCACCTTAGACGACTTGACCTAGCAAGATACAACGCACGCACCCTGAGGACTGACAAGAAGATCGTGGAGCTGGAAGAAGAGATAGACAAGTTGCGCTGGCATATTATAGGATTATCCGAAGTTCGAAGAGAGGGGAAGGACACGGTAATCCTCGAATCCGGCAACTTGCTCTATAACCGGGAGGGCGACCATCTGTTCCAAGGAGGTGTCGGATTTATCGTCCACAAGTCTCTCGTTAACAACGTTGTAAAGATCGGGAGTGTGTCGACGAAGGTTGCGTACCTTATACTCAGAATCACCAAACGGTATTCGCTGAAGGTCATACAGGTTTACGCACCAACCTCGGCACACCAGGATGAGGAGGTGGAGGAAATGTATGAGGATATCTCTAGAGCCATGCATTCCTCCAAAACCCAATATACGATGTTAATGGGAGACTTCAATGCAAAACTAGGCACAAGAGAGTACGGTGAGCTGAAAGTATGGAAATTTGGAATAGGGCAACGGAACCCAAGGGGCCAGCAGCTGGCCGACTTCATGGAGAAAGAGGGACTCTTTATGACGAACTCTTTCTTCCAGAAGCGGCCCCACAGGAAGCGGGCCTGGTCGAGCCCCGACGGTTTACTTACTTACTTATCTTCACGCACAATCCCTGACGGGGTAGCCAGAGAGAACAGATCGCCAAGTGTCACGATCCTTACATACCTCTTTCGCTTCTTTCAGATTCATTATCTTCTTCAT